TAATTTTAATTAATTTTTTTATTTTAAGAGATACATAATCTCTAGAAGGATTAAATTTTATTTTTGTATTATATATGTACATATATATGTATATTTGAAAATATAATCCAAAAATATTAAATTTCCTTTTTTTATATTTTTATATTTTTTTAGTTATTAAAAATAATGCCCGGATAAAATACGGTGTTCACAGCTACGCTGCTATGCAGGCAGCATCTACCACGGCATATGACACAGTAAGGGAATCCTCACCATACACACTTGCTTTAACCTGAAATGTGATCCTTCCACCCGTTTATGTTCATACAAAATCCCAAGAACACAAACCATCAACTAATCATCTAATCTGTAATCCCATACTAATTACCACTTTACCCCTGATTAATATCTAGTCACAAGATTAAAATATTAGAATGTTACAATATTCATGGGTCACTGATCACATTTTCTTGAATGATTTTTTTTTACATTAAAGTTATGGATAAAGAATGGATGTTTGACAATTGATTAAGTAAAGAGTATTTGAATGGTGTGAAAGAATTTATGATTTTTTCTCTCGAGCATGTAAAAGACCCTAGAAGAATAGTGTGCTCTCGTATAAGATGTGTTCTTTTAAAGCAAATTAGTGCATTTAAGTTGGAAGACCATTTAGTATGCCATGAAATTGATGAAAATTACAAGTATTGGCATAAGCATGGAGAGACTAGAGACAATAAATGTACTAGTAATTAGGAGTATAAATGAAGCTTTAAATCAAATGATTATGACACAGATACTTATGAGGGTGATTGTCTTAAAGAGATGGCCAATGCAATTAAAAGGGAACTTAAGGATTGTCCTAAAATGTTAGAAATGTTGAAAAGTGATGCAAAGAAGCCCTTACATTCTGGTTGTACCGAATTCACAAATTTGTTGACGATATTGAAATTGTACAACTTGAAAGTGAACAATGGACGGAGTGATAAGAGCTTTACAAAAAATCTTACACTTATAAAACAACTTCTACCTATGAACAACGAGCTTTATATATGAGGTAAAGTAAATGCTACGCTCAATTGGCATAAGTTATGAGAAAATGCAAATTTGTCTTAATGATTGCATATTAATTTAGAAATGAATATGAATTATTAATGGAGCTTCCGAAATGTAATGCCTTGCTCTACAAAGAGAACATGAAGAGTCCAGAGAAGGCGTTATGGTACTTTTTCACTGTACCTAGATTTAGATGGCTATATAATAGTGTAAAGGATGCAAGAAATTTGACATGGCATGCGGATGAATGGATCAAAGATGGAAAGTTTTGACATCCAGCTGACTCTTCTCAATGGAAAAAAAATTAATCTCGATTACCTTAAATTTAGAGAAGAAGATAGAAACCTTTGCCTCGTATTATCCACTGGTGGAATGAATCTGCATGGGCTTTAAAGTAGCAGTCACAATACATGGCCAGGTATTTTGGTAATTTACAACTTACCTCTATGGTTATGTATAAGCAAAAATATATAATGCTATCCTTTCTAATTTTAGGGCCAAAATAGCCGAAAATGACATAGATATATATTTGGCTCCTTTAATTGAATATTTGAAATTGTTGTGGGAGCATGGTATTAAAGTATATGATGGATATAGAGAAGAAAGGTTCAATTTGAGAGCATTATTGTTTGGCACAATCATGATTTTCCAGCATATGGTAATTTGTCAAGGTATAGTATCAAAGAAAAACTTGAATGTCCTATATGTGAAGAGGGCACACATTTAGTGAGATTAGAACATGAGATGAAGAATGTCTATCTCAGACAATGCATATAGTTGCATCCTGATCATTATTATCAGCGCTTGAAAAAAGCTTTCAATAGGCATCTTTGCCATTGATAGGTGAGGAACATTTTAATAAGGTGAAGAATTTGAATATCGAGTTTGGCAAAACTTTTGCAAATCATCTTGGGACATGTGGGTGGAAGAATAGGTCTATTTTTTTTAACTACCATATTAGCAATCCTTATATGTAAGACATTTTCTTGATGTCATGCACATTGAGAAAAATATATGTAATAGTTTAATTAGTCCATTACTTCATATTCCAAGAAAGACCAAAGATGGCATCAAAGTAAGACTGGATATGATTTCTATAGGGATAAGGGAAGAGTTCACTTCACAAGAGAAGGGAAGTTTGCACATTTCTTCATGCAGCAACTCATGCACTGTTTAAAAAAGCAAAAAGACTTTTTTATGAGTCACTTACTATTGGTAAAATTTCAGAAGGGTACTCTTCAAATATTAAGGACCTTGTGTCATGAAAGGATTTGAAGTTGAAGGGTTTAAAATCGCATGATTGCCATGTGTTAATGGAAAATTTTATTCTAGTGGCCATACGTTCTATTTTACCTAATACGGTTTGAGCCACAATCACAAAAATTGTGTTTCTTCTTCTAGCCTATATGTAGTAAAGTGACTGACCCAATAAATTTGTCAATATTGCAAAGCCAAATTGTGTAAATCTTGTGTGAACTTGAAATGTATTTTTCGCTTGCATTCTTTGACATAATGGTGCACCTAACTATTCACCTGTTAGAAAGATACAAATGTGTGGCCCAGTTTTCTTAAGATGGATGTACTCATTTGAGCATTACATGAAAATACTAAAAGATATGTGAAAAATCAGAGTTGGCCTAAAGGTTGTATTGTTGAATGATAAATTTGTGAGGAGACAATTGAATTTTGTACTAAGTACTTATCAAATGTCAACCATATTGGTCTTTCGACTTCTCGACATGATGGTAGAACTAATGGGGAAGGAATTATAGGCAATAAAATAGTTACAATCTCTAACTTACAATGGGAACAAGCAAATTCATATGTACTACACAACTCTATAGAGGTTAAGGAGTATGTAGAAATGCACATGGTCGAGCTTAAGTGAGATAACACTAATAAATTGGAGATTTGGTATGCAAACAAGCATAATAAAAGTTTTACAGTTTGGTTATAACAACACATTTTTGAGAAGTTCACTGCCGATCTTGATTCAGTTTCTTAACAATTAAAATGGTTGGCAAGAAGTCCAAATAAACAAGTCCTTTCCTTCATTGGCTGTCTTATTAATGGGTACACATTTTATACTAAAGAGCAAGATGATCAGAGTATAGTGCAAATAGTGGTGTAACTCTTATAGCCCAAGCAATGCATATATTTAGTACTAAAGACAAAAATCCCTTGTAATAAAAAAATGTCATACTTTAAGGTAATTGAGCATATTTAGGAGTTAGATTACATCAAATTTCAAGTTTTAATTTTTAGGTGTAAGTGAGTTGATCATAAAAATGGTCTTAAAGTTGATGACTTAGGGTTTTTAATGGTAGATCTTAATAGAGAAGGTTATAAAGATGAGCCTTTTATTTTGGCTTTACAAGCTCAACAAGTGTTCTTTATTCCTAATCTAGCTAAAGTAAATTTGTCTAGTTCTATTGAGTTGTAAAATAAATGAAAATATGAAAGATTCTACAGTTGAAGTTGATCCATTTATGGGGACAATCATTTAAAAGTTATTTCATTGAGGATAAAGCCTTTTATATGAGAAATGATCATAATGAAAGTATTTGGATTTCAAAAAAAAAAGAGGTAAAAGCATTCAAGCAAAGAAGGAGAGCAAGGATAAGGAACATATAAGAAAAAAAAAGAACAATTTAAACCTATAGGTTACTTGTTTTGTGTAATTTAATTTTCTATTGTTATTTATTATGTGCTTTATTTTTTATATTGTTATAAATTATTATTTTTTTTACTTTTGTAGGTAAGTGGCTTTTCAAAAGAGTACTGGTCTTAGTGGAGCTAGCAGTTCTGATTCTAACATTAACATGAATAACCAACAAATTCAGCAAGAAGCAAATCAAATAACAAGAGGATTGACATTGATGGCCAAGGTGAATAGAAGAAGGGCTATTGGATGGAAATATGACATTGAATGGAATTACAAAGGTCAATATATAAAGACCAATAGAAATAAATTCATCAGCTACATAGGGATTGTTGCAAAACCAAATGTACTGATTACAATTAGGCACTAGAACGATGTTAGTCCAGCTATGAAAAATTATATTTGGGAGCAAGTAGGGGTAAAATATTTTACTCAAATTATTGTAGTTAATTGAAATTACTTAACCGAAAATATAATTAATTGTCTTAGTTTACAGTTAGTGTTTGCAACTGATGCTAGTTAGATGAAATTTGTAATCCAACAAGCTGAAAAAGCAATGCGGACATTTAGTATTTCTTGAGAGTCAAATACATTAAAAAAATTAGGAGAAAACATTAGTGTTGAGATCCTCGACTTGATTTGGGCATTAGTTTCACAAGAACAGTGGGATGACCTTATTGCTCAATGTCTCAAGGGATAATTTCAAGTAAGAATAATGAGATAAATTAACTTTTATTATTGTCAATAAATTTAATTTATTGATATGATTCTATGTGTTTTGCACTGGAGTTGAGCCACAAAAAGAAAGAGTTGTATAAGAAAGATCTATACCTTTACAAGAAGAGGTGCATAGGATATGCAGGAATTGAGCAACAACTGGTATGTTAATATTTATACTATATAATTTTAACTTATTTCATGGATTATTGTACTATATTGATATTCAAATTTATTTAAATTTGTAGATCGAGCGAGAGGGTTTAGGGGCAAGTTCAGTTTTATGTCACAGACTCTTCATAAAAGGCTGAACTAATAAAGAAGGAAACATTATTGATTAACATGTTCAGGAGCTTGCTGACAAGTGTGTAAGTACATTAACTTAACATTTTTTATATCAATTAACTAATTTAACTTTCTTATTATATATTGCACAGGTTGAGATCGAGAAAAGCGGCACACCTAATGATGATATTTTGGGCGAGGCATTGGGTAATCCTAAACACCCTAGTCGAGTTAAGGGATATGGCTTCGATGTATTGAAAAATAAATATTTGGATCATAAAAGAAGGCAAGGTCAACATAGGATATGGGTGTAAGGGCTGAGATTGCCACCCTGAAAGAGGAGCTATCTAGGCAACGAGACATAATTGAAGCTTTGTTAAAGGATGAGGAGAGGTGGAAGGTAGAGTTTCATATTAGTCCCAACAAGAAAGGTAGTTACAGTGTAATGCAACCTATTAAAAATCTCCTTGAGGTAAAATATTATTAATTTATTTCACTTATGTTTCACTATTTCTATTTTCCATGACTTTAATATAGTATATTACTTATTAATATAGGGTGAGAGCATATGTGACTTGTTGGTAAATAGCTCAAATCATCATGTGGTTACTATCGATTAGGTGTTTAATTTGTCGGGAGACATGCTACATAATATGCCACTCTATATGTCCTATGTACGCATTGCTATTAATATGCCAAAAGATTTGAACTATTCACTACCTATTCCCATCGAGGATGTAGGGATTGTTGGAGAGGTGATGGGTAGTTTTTGTTGGATGATAAGCTAATCAAGTTAGGATGCCAAGTCCAAAATAACTAGTAAAGATGCACAATCTAATAAAAGATGATACTCCGATCTAGGCTCTCCTTAAAAAAGGCAGTCTCCCATAAAACTGTGCCTGAATAAGAGCCTCAATTACCAAGCCAACATAAAAATTTATTCTAGGCATATGTAATGATTCGTAGGTCTAATCCTCTGATTCTGCAAATCCTATTTGAGGCTAGTATATATGGTGAAGACCGATATGAAATGCTTTCGCTTGATGTTATTAATGAAGTGCTTCAACATGATATGACCAGTCTCACTGTTCTTAGCTTCTACATACAATAATTTTTTTCCATATATGAATAGTTAATATTTTAAATATAAACTAATCCATTTGTAATATTTATAATAGGTGCTTGTATGAAAAATTTGTATCCTTCTTTATCTATAATGAAGTTCGTTTTCATTAGTCCTCATGAAGTGGGTGTACATGCCTTAATTAAAGTGACAAAATTTTAGAACAAGCAAAGGCATTAAGTAAAAATTTCAAAGTAAGGGCTCAAAAGGAAACATTATTCAAAATATCATACTATCAAGGATAATGTACTTCTCACTTATTTTAATAATTAATTTATTTTTAATTTAATCAATTAATTGTAATTTATAACACTTGATAATACTATTAGGGACCATTGGATGTTGATCACTGCCAAACCATTCGGCACCATTCCAAAAATATATTATCTCGATTCTCTTAGAGGGCAACTAGGGTATAGACAAATTTTATTGGAGTTGATTAATATGTAAGTGTATAAAGTATTTCACATATTTATTTATTTATTTAAATTCCATACTAACATATTTTTTACTATCTTATTAGGGTGATTGTGTTATATTGTACAAACACAAAACAATCAAGTCTAAGGTCCTTTATAAATTTTGGTGTGGCCTACACTTAGAATATAGTAAAGGTAATTAGAATCATTTATTAAATTAAAATTTAATTCATTAATATATATTCATCGATTATTTAATTTTTAGTGTCCAAGACAAAAGAAAAATAGCTTGGATTGTTGTTTTATGCATCATAAGATTCATGAAGGACATCATTATCTATAACGAGAGCACAATTTCTGAGATGGTATGTCAACAATATTCACTTTTAAATTACAAAAAAAATTTAATGTATTAAAATTAATTTATAATGGATCATTTATATATTGCAGTACTATGACTATTCTTATGTTGAAGAATTCGAGAATGCAAAAAAAAAAATTGAGGTAATTGAAGAATGACATCAATACATTTTTCAAGTGTGGACCTCATACAAAGAAGATTAATAGAACTATCTAATAGAAGTAGCTAGAATGTTTATATTTTTAATAGGTAGTTTATTTTCAAAATAGTTTACTTTATATAATTACATTTGTTTACTTGATATAGATTAGTTAAGAGATATTTATTAATTAATTTTAAAATTAAATACAATAACTTTCATTAATATTCAAATCTAGAATGACTGTCTGCTGCTATTTTAGTTTCTTTTGCAAGGGGGCTAGTATAAAAATAGCTCCCATATTGAAAAAAAAACATATAATAAATGACAGTTATTTAAATAATCATAATTTATATGATATTTACCCATCATAAATTATGACTCTAAATGACAGTAAATGATTTACCCATCATTTATTATGTTATATAGCTTAGACTTCTATAAAAATTTTATTTTAAATGATGGTTATATAATCATTATTGATTGGAGGGACTTCAAATGTTAGTCATATAAATAGCACATATTAATGTCATTTATGAGCTAAAATAACCATCATTTATTTCTTTTTTGTAGTACTGCTATAAACTAACTCTAATTCTAGTAATAAATATTTTTTTACGGTGATTATAGATATCCTTAAAGTCCAAATTATAGCTTGATTAAATCTTAGCAACTATTCAATTCATGCTTCCATAGGATTAGAGAGCAGAATATTAGAGAGGAAAACTTTAATTTTTACTACAATGCTAAATACATACACACGGATGAGCATCATAAAAGGAGGAAGAGAAGTTTCAAGCACACTTTGAACAAGTCAAGCTAGAGGAAGTGAAAATACATGGAAAAACAAGCTTAGACGCTAAAACAAAGATGACTTCAACAAGGACGAAAAGCCTTCAGCAGCATGCAACAACAGAGGGGGAAGAAGAAGGGAAGATTGACAGCTAGAAACAGGGGGAAAAGGACCACACGAACAAACTTCTTGCAACAGCAGTGGCGGATGCTTGCCAATCATTGGTGACAAGTTGAATGGCAAGAAGGAAATGGAGAAGGAAGATTGAGGAAGATGCATATAGGTTGCTTCAAAAATTCACTCTCTCATATGGATCAGAAAGGATAAGCATGAAAGGAAAATATGGAAAGTAGTAAAAATATTTGATGTGGTTTTAGTGTTTTATTATTTATTTATTTATTTTTTTGAGGGCATAACTGCAATTTGAAAAAGCTAAAATAAAAATTAAAATATTTCTTAAGGTAATAGAAAGACTCAAAATCCACAACCATATAATAATCTATAAGCAAAACTCTATTGGAACATTAATATAATCTTGCAAGTATATCCCAACATATATAAATATACTCGTAAATATCTTATCATAAATTTTAATTAACTTTATGACAATCTTAATTTTTTTAATTATTAGGTTATTATATTCTTTCCCCCTTAAGAAATTCGATCCTCCACATTAAATGGGCACTCAACTTAAACTTCAAACAAGTATAGGTACTTGGTGCATATTTCACTTTCAATTTCCCATGTAGCTTCTTGAGAATGATTGTGCCACAATACCTTCACTAAAGCAATTTCTTTTGATCGTAAATTCTTTACTCATTTATCTAGAATAGTCACTGGAACTTCTTCATAAAATAAATTTAGGTCTATCTGAATCCCTTGAGTCTCAATCACTTGTGAAGGGTCATACAAATATTTTTGTAACATTGACACATGAAACACTAGATGAATACTTGATAACTCAAGTGGTAATGCCAAGTGATAAGCAACTACACCAACTTGCTCTAAGATTTTGAATAGACCAATATACCTTGGACTCAACTTACCTTTCCTTTCAAATCTCATTACACCCTTCATCGGAGACACCTTAAGAAATACTTTGTCTCCAATCGTAAGTTCTAATTTTCAATGTTGATTATCAACATATGATTTCTATCAATTTTGAGTTGTTAATAGTCTTCTCTGATCACCTTTACCTTCTCAATGGCATCTTGTATAATATTGGGTCTTAAAATTTTAGCATCACTTATATCAAACCACCCAATAGGAGATCTGCACTGTCTACCATACAATGCTTCATTTAGAGCCATTTGTATATTGGCTTGATAACTGTTGTTATAAGAAAATTCACTAATGCCAAGTAATTATCCCAACTTGCACCAAAATCTAGAATGCAAGATCTCAGCATATCTTCAAGAATCTAAAGAGTTCTATCTAATTGACCATCAATTTAGAGATGAAAAGCAATACTAAGGTCCAAACGAGTGCCCAACGCTTCTCGAAATGACCTTTAAAATCACAAAGTGAATTGAGGACCTCTATATGAAATTATAGACACTAGAACTCCATACAATCAAACAATTTCATCAATATATAATTGAGCATACTTGTCCATATTAAAGGTTGTTTTCATTGGAATAAAATGTGCTGACTTGGTTAATCTATCAACTATCATCCAAATGGAATCATAACCCTTAACAGTATAAGGTAACCTAGTGACAAAATCTATCATAATATTTTCCCATTTCCACTCCAGTATTTCCAATCATTAGTGTAAACTTGCTGGTTTCTGATGCTCTGCTTTAACTTGTTGATATACTAAACAATGTGAAATATAATCAACTATGTCTTTCTTCATGCCATCTCACCAATACAATTTCTTTAGATCTTGATACAATTTTGTTGATCCTGGGTGAACAGTGTATGCAAAATTATAAGCTTCTTCCAACATAAGCTATCTCAAGTCTTCCGCTTATAGTACACAAATCCTACCATCATATCTTAGTATGCCTTCCTGATCAATTGTAAAATCAGTATTACTCCCTTCTATTTTTGCTTCTCTCAATTTGCACAATTTCAAATTAGAATGTTGACCACCTTTAATTCAGTCAATTAGAGAAGAATGAGCTAGAAATGCCCCTTTATCCAAAATCTATAATTTGACTCCAATTTGCTCCAATTTATGAATCTCTTGCATCAAAGGCCTTCTCTTTATAGCTAAATACGCTAAACTACCCATAGATTTCTTACTCAAAGCGTCAGCCACAACATTAGCTTTATCAAGATGATATAGGATTGTGTAGTCATAATCCTTGAGCAACTCCATCTATTTTCTTTGCCAGAGATTAATATCTTTTATTGGAAGATATATTAAAGGCTCTTATGATCTGTAAAGATCTCACAAGTTTCACTATATAAATAATGCCGCTAAATCTTTAAACCAAAAACAACTGCTACCATCTCCAAATCATGTGTAGGATAATTCATTTTGTGTTTCTTGAGTTTCTTAAGGCATAGGCAATTACTTGACCATTCTGCATCAATACACAACCCAGCCCAATACGAGAAGACATCACAATACACAGCATATCCCCTT